TAGACGAAATGGTTTCATGGCAGCTGAGAGAGGGTGCGCGCACGACGTCGACAACAAGCTTTACAAGATATCCATACACCAGCCGAGAGGGTTCCGTGTGGTGCGCCACTTCACCACGAGCCAAGATATGCGCGCGGTTCTGAACTGAAAGCTGATCAACAATGAGGGAGGAGCAGCCATCCATGCCCAGGCAATCTAATTTCAGGTTCCTAGTCTAGGCCAAAACATGCGCAGTCGAGGCGAACAGGAGAAGTGAGGGGTGAGAATCACCACTATCCGTAGCACTCTGCCTGGACTTTCCAAGGACCTCACAAGCCACCCTACTCAGAACACATCAGGCCTGTGCATCATAATGCGCCTCATGATTCATTGCACCACAAGGATGCTTCAGGGTCATTAATTCTTTCAATGTCACGCCACTGGCCAGCGCTGTTGGAACTCAGTGCGCTTGGCAGGACTATGGAAAGTCATTTGAAGTACTCGCTGCATGCTGCTAAAACGCGCTGGCGGCCGCGTATTTCCTGCGTCACTCACAAGACTCATCATTGCGTGGAAAGAAAATCTTCATCGATTTTCGTGGTACTACTGTGGTAATGAAGTGGTCGTAGCATGCCGGAGGACAGCTGTGCTTGTGAAGCTGCAACCCTGCCGAACCATGGTAAATGACGATACTCCAGTGTAATAATGCTTCTGGAACCTAGCGCGATTCAAGAATGTGGAGTGCAATATTCGCAGTTCAATACCAATTGCGTATTGGTTTCCTTTGCTTTCAGGACACTAAATTCATGCATCCGCGTGAAAACTTCTAGATTCACGGGTGTGGGATCAGGCAGCCACCAGGTGAGACCTGTAACACGAATATTTAATATTGTACGTCAACTATCCCTGAAACACGCTGGTACAACAGCTAGAGAAACACTAATTTGAACTGAGCTATGTTAGTGCCCTAAGAGCGTCTTAGTACCCGGTGTTCTGTAACAATAGCGGCATCGAAAAGAGAGCCGTAGGAAGGGCGGGACCTCAAGGCATGGTCGAAGGTGGCTGTACTGATTGGCTTGTTTGCGCTGGCATTCTGCAGCTCTACCATTTGCTCCATAAGGGACTTCATCGCCAGGGATGTTGGTAGAATGAGTCGTACGTTCAGCAGCTCACACCCTCAGACTTGGAATGAACAGGCTGTGCTCCATGGCAATTTTCCTACTAGATCTTTGCCTCGATTCTGACTGATGCCTTACCACATGCCAGGGGCGGAGTTGCCCTACTACGAAGCCAGTTCGCCCTTTAAGAAAAGCGGGCTGATGTTATCTATGTAGGCATACAAAGCCAAGCTGTGTAAAAGCCTTCCAAATTCTTGTTAAGACGTCCTAAGAGGTGACAATTAAGAGGTCACTGCACAAACATCTTCCCTACGCACACACTTGAGCTGCAAATCTGTTACTCAAAAGCTTTCCACTCAAATTTTTTATTGCAAGACACAGTTGAAGTTCACAGCCTCATATCCTTCTCATTCAGCTGGTGCCGGCCACCCGACACGGCAGACTCGTTGCTGACCCCATAGTAGCAGGAAGCATCAGATGACTCAAAAAGGCGTCGAGGTTTGAATGAGGCAGGTTGCATTACATGATGGCATTGCCAACTACAGTTCTGAGAGGCTTGAAATTGCATGCGAAGCCGCTGCTGTGAGAGACCGTGCCATATATCCTCCCACAGCACACTAGAGAAAGGCTGGGAAAACCTTTTCACACCGTGCTGAACATCGTTTTAGACTATCTTTTAGGTGTGACTTTGGCTGAGGGTTTTCTACGCCGTATTGAACATCTTTCTAGACTATACTCTAGGTGTGAGTTTGGCTTAGCGTAGATTTGTGGCATCCACATGTATATCAGCTACAATTTTATTGTTAAGTGGAACTACCCGTGTAACCCTTGAGAAGTAGAACACATGCAGAGGAGGTTCTTGCATCTAAGCTCTTTTTCCTAGAGTATACCAAAATCATATATTGCAAAACAACAGATGCTATTGGATGAGTCATGATGGGTCATCCTCCTTTTGTTTCTAGAGGCTGCCGTAGGTGGTGGAACGTTGCTTGCCGGTGTAATCTTTATGAACAGTTTTAGCATATCTTCCCCCAATTTCGAGCAGAGCGCAGTTGAGAGTCGATTTTGGTGCATAAAATTCACTACTATTACATTGTAATTTGAGAACCTCACTCAAACAAGGCTCGAATGTGGCTGATATAACGGGCTTCGGCTTGTAGGGGATAGGGATGACGCACTGGAAAATGTAGGCTGTTCGAGCAAGGGCTGTAATTTACCTTCCGAATTGCTACTCACGAAAGTTATCATTACAGTGGCCCTCAATCCACCAGTTTCCAAACTTTATCAAAGAGGGCTCACGGTGCAAGTATCCCCACCTTCAAGCCTCTCAAGGAATCGACACAAGATCAACGTAAACTAAAGAACAGTCATGCATTATGCACATTAGTGGTGGGGGCCGAAACCTATTTTGCAAGTTTAAACCAGTAGGATAAGCTGTATGAAAGCTTGCCGAACTATGTTGTAGTAGCGCAACGAAGTGTAAATTGCGACTGACTCACCGCCATCAGCGCTTTCTGTGGACATTGTAGTCATGACTTTGATCTAGCCCCGTTATCTTTCTTTACTTCAGAGGAAGGCATTCTCCGAGGCTCCGTAAGACAAGCTTCTACCACTGGTGTGACGCGTCCTCTAGCGCTTGCAGAAAGAAAATCACACTCCCCAAAGCACATACAAAATCTGGATCGAGTTAGTGTACTATCCTTTAAAGAGCTTCTGCGCAAAGATACGGTAACACCGCGAGGCCTTGGTTCAAGGGAAGATTCGACAGCTACAATGAATGTAGCTGCATCTTAACACGCCGGATGGGCCGCATCAAACTACATTTACAAATTCTTACTAGACTTGGGCATTTCAATCAAAATTGATCCAAGTATCGAATGATTGGTTGGTGTTTTTGTCAACTTTATTCCATAAAGTAAATTCTGTATGCTTGTGTGTTCATTTGCCATACGCACCTGTCTGCGAGCCCTAAAAAATCCCTCAATCCTAACGGCTCATAGCGCCCCGTAATTTGTTAGAGAGTGAGCTGGAAGTGCGTTTGTAATGTCAGTTCGCCTCACCGACTCAAGTTAGTGTAGCGCTTCATCCAGGGGCTCTTTAGGGAGACACTTTTACCAGAGCATTAGAGTGCTATTAAGTGTCTTTAAAGAGAACGAATTATTTCCCCTACTGTAATTCCTCAAAGTCTTAATATGAAGAGAGAAGAACAACTAGGATGAGCGTAGCTTTGCCCTCTAGGGAATGCGGGCATTTACAGCTAGTTGCAAGTTGCGTCTATCACGCGGACGAAATCAACGTTGCGTCTTCTTGCATAGAGCGAACATCATTCTGCAAAATATACGAGGCATGAGCAGACAAGACAATCCGTCAATTCTTTCAAATTCTTGACGGATATAGCTGGTGTAAAAGAAACTATATAAATTTACCTTGAACCGCTACTGCAGGTATCTCATCTATTCAGGGGGTCTGGAACTGCTGACCACCAGAACGTCCCCCTTTGGCTTACAAAGAGAAGCGCCGCTTGTGGATAGATAAGGTGTATTGCAGCAAAGTGGATGCATAACATATTTATGTGAGCCTCAGCCCATCTTCTGTAAGGAGAGACTAGGTGCTCGTTGCACAAAATAAAAACAGTCTATGTTGGACCAAGCTGTAGTTACCTTTAGATGGACCAAAGTTAGGCAAAAAGTATGTTTGAAGCATGGGGCTTTGCCGCCCGGCTTAGCTGTTCAGTTTGTATACTGGCAGGACTTTTGTGCGCACGGTAAGGCCGTCCTGTGCGGCAAACTTTTGCTTATGGCTGGTCCACACGTGTCCAACATTTGGGCTAGCTGTTATCCTTTTACGCATGTTGAGTGCATACGATTTTTTTGGTTCGCTTGATGGGATAGGGCTTAAAACGCATAAGCCGCCGCATATTCGGGAAGTGTATTTAGAAAAATCAGCAGCTCAAGTAGCGTGTATCTCGAGGGATGAACCGGTCTGCACGACTGAGCTTTCAAGTCACTATTTTACAGGAAAGTGTCTTTGACAGCATCTTGAAAATAGCACATCCCACCGTTAGCCAAGAGAGTGTCCGGTTGTACGCGCTTTGCTTTGATGAAGAGCTAAAAGGAGGACGGGGCAGAGGGTTCAGTTCTCTAGTTATTAACGCGCCCAGGGGTCCAAATCAATATCAGGGGTGGCTCATTATGTACACTTGAAAGTTTTGCTGATCTCTATCTCGCATGACTCACAACGCAGCACCCTATTTTGCCGACTAATTTTAAGGCCTCCTTGCCCCCTATGTGAGATACGCCTTTGTTCAAGCAAACTATACCTTGGGGGCATCTACACCTGCTCGATTTCACTGTATCTTCCAAAAAATTGCACGTGCATAGGCATCCTCCAGATGCTTAGGCTAAGTAAATCATGCTGTTCTCTCCAATATATGGTGCTTCTAACTTCTCATTGAGGGCATGCGGCTGCTTGTTTCACTCAAACTGTGGGTGGCACCGTATAGGCCAGTCTGCTTACTCACCACAATCTGATGGTCCTTACGTTGCAATCAGCTTCTAGCGAATATACTCTCCTGTCGAAAAATTTAAGAGAAAACAGCTGCTTTTCATTTTACTTCAGTCTAAGGGGTCAGCTTTCATAGGCGGCCATGTATCTATTCTGTTCCCACGACACGCATCCTGCTTCCGTCAGCTTCGCAAAAATAGCCAAAAAGTACCAGTCCAGCCAAGGCAGCACGCCGATAGTGATCTGAAGATATATCAGGTTGTTGGCCAACCCCCAGGTATCGTGAGAGTATGGAAATAACGATTTGAGCAAGCCAAACTTTCTGATGCCTGATTAGGCTTTGGAAGCTTTTGGATAGCTGCAACAAAGTGCGCAGCCATGCATGGCACTAGTGCGCCTTCATGTAGATCCGAATTCGGCTGCCCATTCCACGTAGCGGAGAGCCGCTTTTGCATGGATTGAGGGGCGTATCTTCATGAGCGCTAGCTCAAAGTCAGCAGCTCCAACTGGATGCTTGGCCTGTGGTTTAGTGTGAAAGAAAAATATGTGACTAATGGCAACTCTAGGCGGCAGTATAATAGTTTAAAATCGTGCAGCCTGAGGTCGACTGAAGGTGCGTTTTTGCATAGCTCGGTAGCTTATTGCTTTGTACCCGTTGTCACAGGTGAGACTACTCTGCCTGCTTACCTGTTCTGCGCTCACTGTACTGTGATCAGATATATGCTCTGTGGCTTCATGGGAAACGACTTTTAGGATCCGCCTGAGTGGCTGCCACGCGGCCTCTCTGCACAAACTTCGAAGGTCTGCGCAAGAAAATCCCTCGGTACGCCGTGCCAATTCGTTTAAATCTGCACTAGCATCTAGCTGCAGGTAAGCGCCATTAACAGCCACAGCTTACGAAAATGCTCGGGTTCGCTCCACCAGTGACCACAGCCAAGGCAGTGTTTTCCTCACACCGGGATCTCGCTTCAGTCTTAGACAAAATGAGCAACAGTGATTGAAATGGCCGAACGTCTACGCGTCACAGTAGGATGTGGAGATGCGTACTACTTGATCTTTGAGAAAGTGTTCCACCAACTGCTTCCTAACCGTTACATCAGGTAATGGTATCAGCACCCTTTTTTCGAGACGCCGCCGAAGAGCCTCATCAACGTCCCTGAGTCACAGATGCATGTACATGTTGGTGTTTGGGGTCTTGCAGTAGCACGCGCCCAGTCTTAGTTCCCTCTTCATTATACGGCTCGCATAGTTGTACAGCACCCCAGTCCCCTCGGAGGTACAAAAAGCGTAGTAACTCCTGGAGATAGCACCATGGTGCATTTGTCGCAGCAATTACAACGATGCGAGGCGATCTTTGGCTGTTGGAGTCGCCAGCAGGCATCTTCTCTGGGGCGTGCAAGGAGGCGGAGTCCCATTTCTCCTGCCACAGGTAGTCAATCTGCTGGAGGAGCTCGGCCTTGACCCTCCTCGAAGCCTCGTGCTCGCCACACTCGCCACGCTTGCTGCAAATTGCATCTACCTCATCAAAAAATAGCACGCTGGGGGCACGAGTACGTGCCACCTGCAAAGACGCGCAGTGCTTCCGGTTAGTATGTTCACGTAGGCCTACAGCGCTCTACGTAGAGGGACAGGTTTGGGGACACATGTTTCAACAGACCTTAAATAATGCGCGTATAAGTTTTTCAGACTCTCCTCTCCACTTTGAGGTCAGAGAAGCAGCAGAACACCGAAAAAATGAAATTCCGGCTGTTGATGCCAAAGCGGTTGCTAGCATTGTTTTCCCTGTTCATATTTCATGCGCACCCCCGAGACGAACTCCTTTTCCTTCGCCACCATTACACAGGCAGGGAGCTGTGGCAGCAGATGTCTACAAATTCAAAGCCTGCGTAAATCATGATGATCATGTAAAACTCAAGCTATGTAGAATTTGGGTAAATTAAGACCGACCAGTGCCTGGAGGCCCAAAGAACATGACCCCCATGGAAGGCTCAAGGATGCCAGTCAGAATCTCAGGCATTTGCACCGGTAGTAGCACATTTTCTCTCAGCACCTCCTTTGCAGAAGAAAGCGCCACAATATCTTCAAAGGCCATTCCTGCGGGCGCGTGCAATTTCGTTTGCTCGTGCTACTTACACTTTATCGAAGGCAACTCCGTGTAGCCAAAAACTTTTGGTAGTTATTCAATGTCTCTGCTCGTACAGACTTGTGTTTGATATCTACTTTATTGCTTAGAAGTTCGGCCTCAGACTGAGCTTGGTAGAACTGCGGTCATGCGTGAGCATACCTTCTGCATGCCACAATGTCTCTCGTTCAATCACACGTAGAAGTTCCGTCTCCTGCTCTTCATAGGTGCCCACTAGAGGCCCCACTCTGCATCAAGCGGAGGGCCATGTACTAATATTCCTCCATGGCTGTGAAAATCTCAGTGTGCATCCGGAAAGCCGTTGTGCATATGGCTGTGACTGAGTTTAGGTTCACCGACACCCTCGCGTGGTCATGGCAGCGTATCTCACGGTATTTGAGGGAGAGCGCATTCGCCTGCGGGTTTAAGAGCTTGGCTCCCAAAGGCATCTGCACACGGAAAAAAAGTTCGGAAGAAAAGAAAGCTGGATTATTGCTTTTTCCTGGCTTAGCCGTGGAGCTCCAAGCATACTTGTGGCCAAACGGATCACTTTATAAAGTGCCTTTCTAGTCCCACATATACTCGTAAATGCTTTGGAGACTTTGGCTTGCCTTTCTTCTGTTGATGAGGAACTTGTAGTATCCTGAAGCTTTTTATGACCATTCGCGTCTTCCCATAAACGCCAACCCCTACTTGATTGTGATAGCCATCTTCGTATGACGAAAAGGACAGCTGCCGCCGACGATGCTTCACAGCCAGTCCGAGGCAGTCGCCGCCGACCCACAAGCTGCCAGCAAGCAAAAAACAAACCCATTTCTTCAATTCAGTGAGTGTCACAATTCCGTGGGGCTCACGATTGGGAAAGGTCGCACTTGATTCTCCGTGAGGTGGCTAGCCCCACTGGAAGAAGCTATTATGCAGAGCAGCATGGAAAACAAGGAAGCAGCAGAGCCAGGTGGTACCTTATGGTGTCAGAGGTGTAGTGTATGATGACATGAATCCAGACGTTGGGCTTTAATTGCTGAACGTCCTCAGCAACCTACAGTTGAAGCAAACGCAAACTGGCACACACAAACTGGTTAAATACTGCTCAAGATCTCAGGATTCGCTGACCTATACTAGTTTCTGTGAATCCCGTCAGCTAAGTTATGCTTCACATACTATTAAAGGACGACGCGCTACTCCAGGCACGAGACTCTCCAGCCGGACGATTCTGCACAGGACAAGAGGACTGCTGCTGCGACCTATATGGTTTAAACTCAGCGAGTCAAGTAGTTGGCCTTTGACTGATCTTTTGCGCCATCTAGCATTATGCATGGAGGAGCACTCGAAGTTATAATTGGAAAAAATGCTGTGTTGTAGCAAACGCCTATGTTCGTTAATTGCACTGCAGTGACTTTGAGGGCTGGTGAATATAATTTTCAGGAATCATCGTGTGGTTTGTCCTGTGTGCCTTGAGGATGTGTTGAGCTGGAGGCCACAAAAATCGCATGTCCCGCTGATGTCTCCAGCCTAGAACGAAGTGATACGGAATCCCACATATCTCAAGTCCTAACACAGGCTTCATGTAGCAGCTTGTAAGATAGTTGGGGCAAACACGAAGGGTATTGTTCTACCTAATAAGAGGACTTACCTTTGCCATGTCAATGACCACGTACATGACTTGCGCGTCAAATGCACCTCCTGGGGATACCTGTGTAGCAACCAACGGCACTCATCTTAGCAGAATAAAGCAAAAACACAGAGGGTAGCGTCCAAATGTGGGCCAAGCATGCGTTGTTTACTCAATAGGCTGTGCATTTTGGTGGGGCCCAGCTCCGCCACCTTGAGCTTGCTGTTTCCGCCTACGTCCCCCTATCCCCATACTTTTGCAGACTGTCTTAAAATCTTTTACACTCAATATGACTCTAACTGCCGAAGTGTGTGTTTTCCAATGGTGCCTCGAAACAGGATAAACCCGTGACGTGGTACTCCTGTTTAAACTGCGCTTGGTCTGCTGCTACTGGTTTGCATAGCCTCCGCAGGACTCTCACTTTAATGACCGCCTCCACTCCATACTGCCCCTCTTGCTTCGCTGCCTTCTCTTCCTGGGTTCCTTCGTAGCTCGCCAAGCAAAACCCAGAAGCGCATCCCTCAATGGACAGAAGGCCACGTCCGTTGGGTGCAATTAACAGTCTTCCACGCTCCGTAAGCTTCCTCTATGAGCACCCGATAGGATTATCAGGCACACTCCCACGGCCGATATTACGAGCAGCTCTTACAGTCGCAGCCCTATTTCACTTATCGAAAGCCAGGTATTTCACATTATGAAAGCTCTCTTGTGTCACAATGTAATGGCCAGTCACTTTATAGGGGAGCAGCCAAATTTCCTGCACCATGTGGCATTCTCACTGGCCCCTCAATAGCTCTTTGTTGTTAACATTAGACCTGGGATATATTTAATGAACACAGTGGCGTATGAGTGCACTTACCCATCCTACACCTTGTTGGAGATGCGGTACTTCTTGTATTTCTTCTCCCTTCCCGGAGACAGTCTGCGTTTTGTTAGGCCCAGCTGTAGTCCAAGACATTGTGGAAGGCTCTATGGCAATGAAGGACGCAGATTTTGTGGCTGAAATGCCAGTGCCGTTCGGTCGGGACCGCCCTTCAGCTGGGCCGTTGGCCCAATTGCGCCCTTGCCGCGACCAGCCCATCAGCAACCTCCAGTAAATCGCTTTCTGCCAACGATGGCCAAACCAGCCGAGACTGCTTCAAACGACTAAGCGTCAGAAAAAGTAGGAACTCCGTGAAACACACAGTAACGCGAATGCTCATCTATCTGCAACTTTACTTTTGACCTCCGCAACTGCATTGGCTAGTACAATGTGAAAAAGTGGCACTGTAACTTAAGTAGTTTCAGTGATACGCCTTCACGCCGGCCCAAAGTGGATAGTGCGCAGATTACTTGGCATCTTCTATAGGGGCACTGTTTCTCTAAATTTACACTGGATATCACAGAGAAAAAGGAACTTGGAAGCGTTCAAGCATAGTGCCTTGTTGATTGCGAGGGCACACTTGAATATGAGAATTCCAGGTTTGGGTTGGAAGCTGGCCAATTCGCTGCAGTCATGTAGGGAGCGATCGTTTTTATGGCGCCCAACATAGTGTACAACGCAAACATGAATGGCCTCATTGGATTCGATAAAACAGGCTACATCCACTATCACAGGATCAGGTCCGAAACCACAGAAGGGGAGTCGAAGATTGGGGCAGGAAGCAAGCAGGCAACCAGTTATATAGTGTGACAGTGACTGGTGAATTAGGCGTGGCTGTGGACATACACCACTGTATGGCATAAGAGCCCTCCGAATTCAGCCTGAGGTCTTTATTCAGGATACAAAATGGATGAGGACAAATTTTGTACCTAGTGCATCCACAAACTATGCTAATTACAAGAAGCAATTCTATAACACACACAGGGAGCTGCTCAACTACCAGAGCTGGACTCCAGTGAGTAGAAAGTTCATCCAGTATCTTGAAACCTGCATCAAATAAGCAAATCATGGCAAGCCTAAACTTGCATTCCTATTGAAACCCAAGTGGCGATTTCAGCGGTGCATGCAGAGAAGCCCCATTAACCTTATCTGCATTGAACACAAAATCGAACAAGAACAATGCACCTGTTAGTATGCACTGTATTAAACTTCAGTGTATCTAATGCCATAGGATAGTGAAACCGCCTGCAGTCCATTCGGGCATTGCATCTGAGTTTCGTTTGTTCAAAATCGCAGTGGCGCTTTGCTACTGTTGCGGGCTAACCTGCTTGTATGCACTTTCTACTGAACTAGTTACTTTTCAATTAAGCATGAGAAAGAAGTAACTAATTGTATTGGCGGGTTCATACTTTTTTGCCGCCGAGAAGAGACGATTCGCTATGATAAAAATGAGGCGTACCAGTGCGCTCGTCTCCGTGCAGCTAGTGCCGCGGAATGGAATGTTCTACAGCCAGTTGATACTACACTATTTATATCCGAATAAGACCTTGTAATGAGTTCACTAGTTGTTTTGGCTATTGTGTTCTAGATATTTTGTAGTGTACAGTTGGCCCAATACAAAAAGGGTCTACGATGTGTGTCTCTGTATGAGCCTTCCGGCATATAACCTTTAACAGAAACAGCTGACTTCTCTAGGGATCACCGAAGGGCCGTATGAGGCTCGAGTGCACCCTCGAGAGATGCCGCGTCGAGGTCAGTAGCGGGCAAGCTGCTCCAAGCAATATACTATATTAGTTCATCCAACTAAGAATTAGCAGACAAATGACCAATGGGTTTGCCTAGACGGATATCTTATTTATTCCAAAATAGTGTTAGCTTGCTATAGGAAGGCGCAATGCTGTGTGTCTATGCGGTAGATGCTGTGTGCAACAAGTTGTGAATGTTTGTACTGCCAAGAGAGTGCAGTCATGCACATCCTGGATGTGCTTCTCCCCTCAGGTCATTACTTCGAGAAGGAGGGGCAGGGCATGGGCTAACATTTTTGAAAGACAGTCAAAAATGTCAAGTAAAATTAAAGTATAAGTCGAGTCTGGATTCAAGTGTTTCCCTCCACAGACATCAGGTGAAGCGTTACACTTGGTAGCACACACTATTTTGATGCAGCTCTTTTCAGCTGAACCAATGGCTGTAAAGGCAGTTACATCTCAGGCGTCCCTGCAACAGTATTATATAGCCTTTCAAGGCATTTGGAATTCCATTCTTTTGATTTTTCTCCGTGCAGGTAACCTGTCAAAAAAACTTTCGCAACGGAAGTTGCAATGTGGTACAATCTATGTTTTGGGCGGCACAAAGCCACCCATAAGCTAAATTGCAGGCAGTCGCTACACCGCTGAGAGTAGAGCGCGTCTTTTGGGGCGACGATCTGTTTATGAACGGGTCAAGGAGGTCGTGTACACCAGAAAAATCTGACGGCAGTAAGGATGGGTAAGCACTCGAAGAGTGGATTAGCCGGTTGCAGATTTAGGTCGGTTCGTGGCTTCGACATAAACCGAATCAAATTTTGCTTGTGCCAAGTCTACTGGAGAGACAAAGGCTTGAATTTTGGCAATATCATACGGAGAAACTCGCGTGCCTGCAGGAGTTGCTACACTTCAAGCCTTTCTACAGGACCTGACGCATCAACTTATTTTGACACCGACTCGACAAGCAAGCATTATGAGAATTAAAAAGCCTTAAGCAAGGGAATCCAGCAGGAGATCCCTATATTGAGAATATGTAACTTTGGAGTGCAAAAGCCATAACATGGAGGATTAGCTTCTTTCTCAATGATTTAGCAGATCCGCCGTCACACAATGAGAAGGGAAGCAGCCATCAAACAACTGACCTATGGGCCTTTCACACACGGTGACTAAACAAGGTATTAAGCACAAACAAGCTTAACCCCTGCGTCCCCGGGGGAGAAATACCAGCGAACACGCAATTTGAACCGTGTGAATTTCAGGGATGTGCCAACCTGCCCTAGCCTACAGTCTAGCGTGAACAATAAAAGACTGCCAGGAGGAATCCTGGCATCAAAGCAGCCATATGCAGCGCTCCACACAACTCACCTGCCTCTAATGCGGGCCATTGGGCTGCAGGATCCGGAACTTTGAGCGCTTGAAAAAAGAAAAGAACTAGAAGAAAGTTACAGGGCCCAGCAAAGGCAGGCTGCTTGCTGAGCAAAGAAAATACACCACGAAAAATGCAAGCCTCCGACGCACGCTGCGAC